CTCAAGGTCAGCAGGGCGGCCCGGCGCGGGCGGGGCGGGCGGGCCCTGTTGTCGCCAGGGAGGGGGATCTCCTCCCGGTGCTGAGCCGACCCAGCTGACGTCCCTGCTCATCGTGGCGGCACCTCTGGAAAGTCGGCCCACCCTCGGGTCCCCTCCCACCACCTGGCCTCCAACCTCTGGTGGTCCTCTGGACGCGCATCGCACACTGTTCACGTCTGGGCTGTAACACTGTTTTGTCATTGGCAGCAAACAGCTTCTCTCTTAGGTGGAAAGCAGATCAACAACAGGGATCTATGCCTTAGTTTTTGTAGTCCCAAGTACTTGTGAAATGACCTGGTAGGCCCTGTGTAGGGGGCCATCCAGACGGTGCAGGAAGATGTGAAGTGACTAGAACTCCCATAAGGGCACAGCGTGTGATTTCACGTAGGACACTTCCCTTACCTCTAGCAACTGCTTCGCAAGGTAGAGGGTTGTTATTCCTGTTTTATCAAAAGCCGGAAGGTGTTGCCCAAAGTAGACAGCAATTTGGGGTTTCCTCTAGACTGCGTTGTCTAGGGACTGCTGGCTTATTCATCTTGGGTCCCCAGGTCCCAGTGGAATGCTTATCTCAAAACAAGGGACTATTAATATTAAGTCTGTTGAGTAAGAGACAGGAGGGCAGAAGTCACAATGATTGGGACAAAATCCAGGCTCCTCTCCTTAAAAAAGGCCTGCATTTCTTCCTCCTATTTTTCATCTTTTTATGCCTACTTTCTGTAACAATAAAATGTATATACAGTTTAACAACTGACCTATTTGCAGCAGAAATTACTTTTAAGATGTTGCCAACTCATTTTACTAACGTCTGTGTTGGGATAGAGCTGTGTGTGTGTGTGTGTGTGTTAGTGGTTAAGAGAAATAGATGGGACCACCCTGCACAGTGGCACATGCTTGCTGGCATTTCCAGGAAGAAGCTGGGGGGGCTGTGACTCCCTAGGACACTGTCACCCAGGGCTGAGGCCTCCCTCTAAGGCTCCGGTATGACACACGGTGTAAGCACTTTCTATTCTGTCTGATACATCCCTTGGTTTTCCAGAAGGCGCGTGTACCAGATGTGTAGCTTAACAGCATCATGTGAGTGCAGTTTTTGTATTTTTCTTTAAATCTGTAATGTCTCACCAGTATTCAAGTTTGGTTTGGGGATTTTTTTTTCAGTAATGTCCTATGCTACTCTTTGTAGTACCCACCCAGTAAAGTCATCTTCATTGTGTCCAGAACACCCTCATTCAGTCAAAGAGAACATCTCGCTTGCTCAGGTCCCCCTGGCCTGGCCCAGCCTGGTCACCACTTTAGACTTCCATCCACCCTCTTTCATGGGAAGAGACCTGTTTCTTGGAGACTGTCTTGTAAGAGCTACTTGGAATCCCTTCTGGGCTCAGGTGTCCTTTGGCACCTCCATAAGGAGCAGCTACCAGAACTGGGTGAAGCAGCGTCACTCCCCAGGCTGGAGCTTGGGTACGATCTGTTCTCGGTCCTTCCTAGTGCTGCGGGAAGACAGCTCGGTGTCCCGGGCCTGTCTGCTCCCCTGGAGAACTGTGAGGGTGACCGCAGCACCAGGAAGACCTGCTAACTTGCTCGCGGTTCTCCATTCTGGACTGGCCTCGCTCCTGATACTCGTGTGGGTGCGGTCCACAGGCTCCAGGCTGGGCCTCTCTCGGTGTCGTCTTGGGACCTCTCCCGCGCCGGCTCCATAGTCTGACTTCGTACGTGGCAGCCCAGGGCTCCTTAGAGCGCAAAAGCGGAAGCTGCCCAGCTCCTTAAGGAGCAGACCTGGGATCCGCAGCCTGTCACTTCCTCTGCAGCCTGTTGGTTAAATCGGTAGAGCTCAGTCCAATTCATGGGAGATGTCACACCAGGATGTGGGTACCTGGAGGTACTCTGGGAGCCACCAGAGTGACGCCACACAGGCCCCTGCTTGTGCCACTCACTCCAGTCGGGAGACATCAGATACAAGCAAGTGCCTTGGTGCCCACTCCCCTGGGAGCTCCCGCCAGGTGGTGGTCCCAGGCCTGCAACCTTGAAGGCCTGACCTTCCCCGATGTAGTCACCTGGGACGAGGCAGCTGAGGAGACAGCTGTCTTTCCCTCACCAGTTAACTCCACCTGTGGGGAGCCTGGCTTCACCATCGTCCCCCTGGTCTCAGACCCATCCAGCTGGGTTTCCCCAGTGGGAACCTAGGAGACTGTGGAGTGGACTTCTCCCCACTGGGGATCTGTTACCCGTCGGGCCCAGCCCAGGGCTGTGATGCGCCGAGGGTGGGGAACCCTCATTTTGAATGACTGTTCCCAGCCCCACGGCCCTGCACGTCTGGGACTGACGCAAGCATGTGCAGCACAGACGTGCCCCCAGACTTCCGCATCGGGCCAGGATGGGCCATTAGCTAAAGGACCACAGGATTCCTCCCACTTCCTACCAGAATCCCGCCCACTTACGTTGTCTGATTTCGGTGGTAAGCAGGGCTCCTCCCGTAACCAGGTTTCACAGAGACATTAAACTTTGCATGTGAAGCCTTTGCCTGGTAATAGGAGAAGAATCCTTCTGTCTTTTTATTTTCTCAGTGGCTGCCGGAGATGGTGGGTCCAGGTCCCCTCAGCCTGGCCACCGTCTGCTGGAACAAGGACCAGTCTCTTCCACATTTCTGGGGTGGAGTTGCGTCTCTGGGGCTCGCAACTGGGAATTAAGGGTCCCTTTCCCAGCAGCATGGCCCAGAAGGCAGTGGAGTCACTGTCTAAGGTCAGGGGCCGGCCCCACCCACCCTTTTGTGCTACCCATGGAAAGGGAGTGAGTGGGTGTCTTCTGGAAGACCCCCTCCCAATACCCTTGCCCCTGTCCTCTGTGGGCACCACCTGACCAGGCTGCTGGCCTGAAGCTGCTCTAGTTGGGGCTGGGAGCCAGCGAGGCACGGCCCCCCTGCCTCCACCCGCCGCTGCCGCCCTGTGGGCTCTTCCTCTGCTGCTCTTTCTGGGTCTTTTCACGTGAATGCAGAGACACTCCATCCACCCGGCGGCTGTATTTTCCTGCCGCAAGGGTGGGTGGCCAGTGGACTTCCAGCTGTTTGGCCAAAGCTCCCCTTGGACCATGCAGGAGACCCCAGAGTTGGGTGGGCAGGTCCAAACCTGACCTTGAAATGCCAGCCCTTCGCTATAACTGCCGGCCTCCGAGCAGGGTGAGCACCTGGTTCTTCTGGGCCAGGCCAGGCTCATTGTGCACACAGGGACATCCGGCCTCAGCTTATCCTCCGACTCAGGCTCATTCTAATGCTGGGCATATTCTGCTGGGTCAGTCCCACAGGCCTGGGCTTAGAGCTGGCTGGTGCTGATGCTGCCAGTTTGTAGTGAGTTAGGAGGCCGGGCTGGGGGAGATGCCACCTCCTGGTGCCCAGGTGCTGGCAACATCGCAGCACAATGGGAAGTGTGACTCTGTGTTACTCCTGCTCTGGTCTTTCTTTTTTGCTCATTTAATTTAAAGAAACCTTGGTACCATTCTGCAGGGAACCTGTTTCTCATGTACAGTTCTTTCTGCCTTTGACCAAACAGCCCCCTCGTCCCTTGCAGTCTTTCTGCACCCTGACCACCGGCTTGAAGTTGTGCTGTTGTTGTCACGGCGAGAAATCTGTGGTCCTGCAGTGCCATCACCACCACTGTTTCACAGAGCTTGTGGGAGCCCACTCTCGCCTTCCCCTCCGAGGAGGCACCGGGCAGGAGCCGGTGGCCACAGGACTGCGGGTCCTTTCCCTCATCCTGGCACCTGGCTGGAGCTCGGAAGTCTGATGTGTCCTGTCTCCCTCCCAGACGCTGGACCTGTCCAACAACCAGCTGAGCGAGATCCCAGCGGAGCTGGCCGACTGCCCCAAGCTCAAGGAGATCAACTTCCGAGGGAACAGGCTAAGGGACAAGCGCCTGGAGAAGATGGTCAGTGGCTGCCAGACCAGGTCCATCCTGGAGTACCTGCGTGCTGGGGGCCGCGGGGGCGGCCGCGGCAGGGGCAGGGCAGATGGCGCGGACAAGGAGGAGAGCCGGAGGAAGAGGAGGGAGCGGAGGAAGCAAGAGAGCGGTGAGGGCGAGGAGGCGGCGGTGGACGAGGCCAGCCGGCTGCTGCTCAGGGTCCTGCACGTGTCCGAGAACCCGGCCCCACTGATGGTCAGGGTGAGCCCCGAGGTCAAGGACATCCGGCCATTCATCGTGGGCGCCGTAGTGCGGGGCATGGACCTGCGGCCCGGGAACGCACTCAAGCGGTTTCTTTCCTCCCAGGTGGGTGCTTGTGGCTGGCAGACGAGGTGGGGGCGGGCTGTGGGGCCGGTGACCTTGGCCTTCGCTCCTGCCAAATGCCTCGGTTTCCTCGCCTAGAAAATGGGGCAGGCCTGGGCCTCCTTGCCCGGGGCAATGAGCGTTTCTTGAGTCTCTGAACACTAGTGGGCTTCCTGGTTTCAGTAATAAATTCTACATTGAGTTTCACAGGAGATAGCATTAAAATTGTCAGCTCTTGCCAGCACATTCTTAGGTGAGTTGTTCAGTTTTGTTAGATTTCAGCTAGGCGAACTTGCAGGTTATTGCTTTTCTGTGAAGTCTGCCCGGCTTTTAAAATAAAAGGCACATCCTCACATGTGGGAGACCCCGAGTGTGGCCAGCAGGGCTGAGGCTGCCTCGTGGAAGGGACTCTGTTCAGGGAGGCAGTCGGGGCACGCGTGGCAGGAGCTCAGAACTCAGAGATCAGTGTCTGGGAAGAAAAACACGCTGGGGTCATCGTTCTGTTTAGGTTACACTTTTGTTCATTCAGTCATAAATTTTAACCAGGATGGTCCTTTAAAGCCTTGAATGTTGTGTACTAGAGTCAAGGAAAGAAGGAATTCTGCTGATCAATAGATAAGATCATTTTCTGACAGTGTTTCTACAAAAATGTGGCTTGGGGAGGCAACCGGTGAGGTGGTGGCAGGCGGCTGCAGTGACAGGTGGGCTCATCCCCGCCAGCCTCGCCCACTGAGACCTGCCCGCCCACCTTGGATCTTGTGTCGCAGACCAAGCTCCATGAGGACCTTTGCGAGAAGAGGACAGCGGCCACCATCGCGACCCACGACCTCAGAGCGGTGCGGGGGCCCCTGCTGTATGCTGCCCGCCCGCCGCAGGACCTCAAGGTGAAGCCGCATGGCCCTCCCGGTGTTTGCGATTTGAGGGCTCATTTTCTGTTTTTTGAAAAATACACGTGCTGTTGATTGAGTTGGAGCATTCTGCACGGACCCGGGCCTTCCTGTGCTCCTAGCCGACACATCAGATAACCAGACGGGCCGTGTCGCCAGGAGGTGGTGATTGAAAGGGGCCTTTCTCCACTAACTTTTAGCCAAACGTTGTGGTGTATATCCCACTTGCAAACGCTGTACTTTGGGATTGACTTCAACTGAGTTGCTCCATCAAGGTCCTGCTCCTAGTCTGTGAGCTCTGCACAGTGCTCGCAGGTCCCGGGCAGGGAGGCTTCCCGGTGGCCACCGTGCGGACCTCAGTGCTGTGCTGCTCGCCTGAGGACCAGCTCCGGCCACCGGCCCCACCTCCTCCCTCGGCCTCCTCGGGACGGATGGGCGTGCAGACGTGGTCGTCTGTTAGGCGGGTTAAGGTTCAGCCCAGCTTCTTAAGTACTGGAGTGTTTGGGCGTCCGGGTGCCCGAGGTGACCTCTGAAGGCACAGTGTGTCCACAGGTGACGTGAAGGGCAAATTCGGCCCTCAGTCACCTTGACCTCCACCCAGGGGTCGTCAGCTCTCAGAAGCATCCCACTGCCGTGGAGGTGGATAGAGGAGAGTGCGGGGGTCGTGGTGCTCAGAGCCATAGTGAGCGAGAGGACGGGGCTGTGGCCCCAAAGCCGGCTTGTTTCCACTCGGCTGATGTGCGGCCTCCGCCCCGCAGATCATCCCCTTGGGGCGCAGAGAGGTCAAGGCCAAGGACCTGGTGCGGCAGCTGCAGCTGGAGGCGGAGGAGCACAGGAAGCAGAAGAAGAGGCAGAACGTCTCAGGCCTGCACAGGTGGGCGCTGCGGGCAGCGAGCGGGGCTGGGGGCGGCCTCGGGAGCCGCCGTCGTCCGGGGAGCTCCTGAAGCCGCCAGAACTCGAGGAACCTCCCCAGCCTTCAGTCCCTCTAGTCAGGAAAGAGGGTACCGTGAGCCCAGCTTCTCAGGCCCCAGAGAACCAGGTGACAGGAGTGTCCCACGGGAGGGTGGCCATCGGCACAGATGCCAGGCACGCAGGGACAGAGGGGTGGGGAGAGGCACAGCCCCACCGCGTTTGCTCCAGATTGGGCAGGGCGGGGCCGGGCACGTAGAGGCCCTGGGGCGCCGTCAGACTGTCCTGCCTGGACATCCCTTGCCGCGCCGGGCCGCCACCCTGCGGACACAGGCCTCGGAGCCTTCCTCGGCCCGGCTGTTGACACGCGCCCTGGGCCTTGCGCCGCCACTGTCCGGAGGGCTCGCACTGCCCGCTCGCTGCAGGTCTGTCGTGGCTGCGCCTGTGATCGGTGCCCCCTCCCGCGCAGGTACCTGCACTTACTGGACGGGAAAGAAAACTACCCGTGCCTCGTGGACGCCGAGGGCGACGTGATCTCCTTCCCGCCGATAACAAACAGCGAGAAGACCAAGGTGGGCGGCGGCCCGGCGTCTGCCAGGCTCCCACGGGCGGCGCTAGCGCACGCGTCTCACCACATGCACCACACCTGGGGCTGTCTCTGCTCACGGAGGCGACAGCCTGGGTTTGGGTGACGCCGTCTCCCTGCTTTTCTTCAGATGAGGTGTTGCAGTTGCTGGTGGCCCTTGTATTACTTTATTCTTCTCTGAAATCTTTCCCGTTTCTTTTGAAGATTAAGAAAACCACATGTGACCTGTTTCTGGAAGTGACCAGCGCCACCAGTCTGCAGATCTGCAAGGACATCATGGACACCCTCATCCTGGTACGTGCACCCTGCGGCCACCTCAGAGTCTCCCCGGGCCACCTCTGATCTCGCGGTTAAAAAGATACCTTTTATTTGCAGAAAATGGCAGAAATCAACAAATACACTTTGGAAAACAAGGAGGAGGGCTCCCTCTCCGACCCTGAAGCTGATGCAGTTTCTGGGCAACTTTCGGGTCCCAGGGCGACTCCTGGTGCGGAAAGTGACGGGTACTCGCCGCTGGTGGTGGAGCAGGTTCGGGTGGTGGACGAGGAGGGGCACCTGAAGGTGGTGTACCCGTCCAAGACGGACCTGGACATCGCAGCCCACGTGACCGTGATCCGCTGACAGCCGGAGCCGTGCTGCTGGCGCCGCCGGCCCTGCCGGAGTCTGCCCCGTGACACTCAGTTATTCGTTCCCCTCGGGGCTTTTAAGACACATGCATTCTTTGTTCAGTTTTCCAGACGGCTCTGTTGGAAAGGGAGGCCATGTGGCCGTGAGCTGAAAGGGCGTCGCCTCTGCAGCACCAGCCTGACTTCACTGAGACTGTGTGTGAAGTTACTCGAATGTGGGAGCGAACTGTTCAGAAAGTCCTGAAACCATGTCAGCACACAGCCAGCACCTGTACTCACGGCGAAGAGGGCGCTGTCACTGGCTGGAGTGTTCAGCTGGGTGAGGAGCGAGACGCCCCGCCTTTTATTGACCAGCAGCTATTTTCCTACGACCCCGGGTCTCCCAGCGACACTGTGCCCGGAGCGCGGCCTGGACACGTGGGGCATCACGTTCTCCAGCTGCTACAAATCATAATCTTTTTAAAAAACTTCTTCCTGTGACCCTGGAACTGGCAGAGTCTCCTCAGAACTGCTGGTGGCCACGTCGGGGATGGAGATGCCCAGCATCCGTGAGCAACAGCGGGCCCGCCTCCTGCGCTGGGCGGGCTCCATGCTTGGAAAGTCGGCCCCGCGGAGATGAGGTGTGACACCCATGTCTCCAGGTCCGTGTACAGGTTTCCCATCCACGCCCAGACGGGACAGTTCCCTTTGTAAACTGTCCGTCGTCGACAGCCCACTGGAGGACGGGGCAGCAGTGACTGGAGAAGCCACCAGACTTCTGACTCCGGAGGTCACAGAGCCCAGACACGCATGAGGCCGAGACCCCGCTCGCCCGGGCCTGCTGCTCGGCCGCAGTTTCCCCAGAGCCGAGCCACCCTGCCTGGAAGGATGAGCCGGAGCTGCCCGGTCACCCAGCCCAGCTCCCCGGTCACCACCAGGACGGCTCACCCCCAGTCCCGGGGGTGGCCGTGCTCGGCTGGGCCAATGTGGGCGCCAGGTGACAGTATCTCCCCCAGACCTGCCCGGCACCTGCAGATTGGTGGCTCTGCCTTGTCACTTCCTGACCCTCGGGCTGCCAAAGCCACAGATGCCATGGCTGGCGCAGGCGTGGGCATCTCGGCTAAGCCCTCCTGGGGGGCTGCGCCACAGCCGAGCTGCCCTCTTGGCTCCGAGACCACCGCCTCAGTGGCCACGTGGCGTGTGGCCCAGGGTCTCCTAGGTGGAACTGAAGCCCCAGCGCCTGCTGCCCTGTTCTGATGCAGCTGGAGTCCACTTGAGGTCTGGAAACGCACTCCACTTGCAGCACAAAGTCCCTTTGACGTTTCTCCTCCTTGGCCCGTGTGACCCTCTAATTAAAAGCGTTCAGTAGGAACACGTGGGCTCCCTCTCAGTGTTTCTGGAGGCGGGGGTGGGGAGCATCCATGGGGACACTGAGGACCTGGGCCCTCCTTCCCAGCACAGATCTTGCCACCAAAGAGTGGGGCAACCCCAGGATCCTGGGAACCAGCTTCCTGCAGCATCTTCCAGGTCTGAAGCGCCAGGTGGGAACCCGTCCCCACCAGATCATCCCAATTCCGGGCCGTCTACAGAGGGGGAGGCCTGTCCCACCCTCTCCAACCCTCCTGGGGCTGTCAGGACGCCGCCTCCACCCTGACCACTTGGGTCCAGCCGGGGCCGGGGGCCCATTTCCCTGAGGTGGCCCAGGTGGAGGCAGGTATCCCGTGTGCCTCTGCCTGCAGCCTCCCCACAGGCCAGGCAGCCAGTGCCAGCAGAGCCCACGGGCAGAGGACACCACGTCCACCAGGGCGTGGGCCAGTGCCCCCAGCTCTCCACCCAGACACCTGCTGGGCCATGGAGCATGCAGGGCAGGACCCCAGCGCCAGGCTCTGTGGTCCACGGCCACCCCCAGGGCTCCCCCACCCTGGGGAGCAGGCGTTGTGAGGACCCATGGGTGGCACCCAGCATTACCAGACCGAGCTGGACAGGCTCCGGAGGTCACTTCCTCTCCTCTGGCCCCTGGTACTGCCCCCACCCCACCCTCAGCATGGACCGCACCTGGCTGTCCCTCCTTGCCCCATCCCACCTCCCTGCCTTGCCCGTGGCCAGTGGCATCTGACCTGTCCATCAGCAGACCTGCCCCTGCCCAGGGGATACTCAGGGACGTCTCAAGCCAGGGAGGCCAAGGCAGCTTCCCAAAGAGGGAGGTGTGACAGGCAGGGGACAGCCTGGGCCCCTCCTCCCTTCTGTCCTGTACCCTCGGGGACGCCCAGCCCCTGCACCCCCAGAGCAGACTGCCCACCACTGAGAGCCCACAGAGGCCATGTAGCCGCAATGCACCTAGCCCCTGCCCACTTCCCCGCAGCCCCCACCCCAGGGCCGGTCCTGAGGTGACCGGAAGGGGCTCCAACTGGGATTCCAGGATGAGACCAGACAGGTGTGGGTCAGCTGGCGCCTCCTCCCCCAGAGCGTGATCAAACAGGTGGGGGCGGAGGGGTCTCTCTGGAGACAGGTACTGAGGCTCAAGACCAGGGCTGCTGGACCAGGCCCTCCGCCGCTGCCCCTTAGCCTGCTTCCCTTGCTCCCAGCACACAGCCGGCCGTGCCGGAGCACCGCTGCTGGGAGGCCCCGGCCCGAGAACAGGCAGGCTTGCCAGGTACCGCCCCGGGGCCATGCCCAGCCGCCCTCCTTGGGGTCAGAGCTAGGGATCACCTGGGCAGTGAGGCCCCACCTGACGCCCACCTGGCCCAGGCCTGCTATCCCCATAGGCCCATCCCGTGGGGGCCTCTGCTCCTTCCTGCCAGCTACGTCTCTGACACTCAGGTTTGCCATGTGGTCTCCGATCACAGGGCCCACAAAGATCCCGACTGTCCCTCATTCCCGCCCTCAGTTCTGGGGCGAGGGCCGCATTCCTAAGGTGTTTCTAACAAGGGGTCTGCGGGGCCTGAGACACGAGTTCACAGCAGACGAGGGCCAAGTGTGGCCCAGGAAGGCACCTACTGAGGCCGGAGCGGCCCCAAGGCGGGCGAGGGACCGCCCGTGGTCAGGGCAGGCAGGAGCAGGTCCGGCCACATGCTGGCCCTCAAGCCTGCTGGGTGTCCCCACCTCCCACAGGGGCCCCGCCAGGACCAGGACGGGGCACACCCAAGGCCAGAGCCAAGCAGTACAGGCCCTCCACAAGCCTCCTGGCCACTATCCACATGCCCCTGGCTGGCTTCACCCCAGCTGCCACGAGTCTCGCTTGGCTGGGGGGACCCATGGGAGAGACCGAGACCCATGCTTTTGTCCAACAGACATTTAATGACTGCCTCCAGGCACAGGCTCTGGTCCTCCCATGGGGCACAGGCAGGGAGCCGGGCTCCCACTGGGCCCCCCACCTCCAGAGGTGGACGGCCCCAGGGGAACAAGCCCAAAGATTCGGTGGTGGGTCTGGGACCAGGGCCGAGGCCCCTCCCCCTACTCCGCCCTGGGCCGCTAGGCCTGTGTCCTCAGTGGGGGAACGACAGCCACCTGGTGCCTGGGGAAGGAAGGGGGTTCTGGGGGCCCAGGACTGCAGGACCAGCCTGGGTGTGTCCTGTAGCCCCAGTTCAGGCGGGGACCCATCTCCCAGCCACGTGAGCCCCGGGTGGCTGTGTGCGCCAGGTAGGCACACGCCTGCCCTTGCTTGTGTACCCTGTCCTTGTCTGGCTGTACACCTGTGCCCTGTGCACCCCCAAAGTCTGTGTATGGGGAGGGGGGAGTGTCTGTGCCCGTGGGGGGGGGCTGTGTATGGAGAGAGGGACCTGTACACAGGGAGGCTGTGCATACTGAGGTCTGCGGGTACAGATGGGCCCTTGTGCGTGGCGAGTGTCCCTCCGAGCCCCGCCCCCGGCTGCTGGGCAGCATTTATTTGCACTTGTGCACGTAGTAGCCGGTGACATAGCCCAGGATGAACACGGCCCAGAAGAGAGCCACTCCACTCAGCACCTTCATGGAGATGCCCAGCTTGCCCGAACACAGTTTCCAGGAGATCCTAGGGTGAGAATCACAGGCAGGTGAGCCCCAGGTGGGCCCCAGAGTGGACTGTGGGGGCTGGGTGGGGTGGGGAGGGGGAGGAGGAGGAGCCGGCCAGGGCAGGTGGGCCATGGAGGAGGGCTGCCTGGCTGCTCTGGACTTGGGAGACTGGAGGAAGCCGAGTAGGGGAAGATGCCGGGGAAGGCATGAGGACCAGGTCTGCTGAGACTGCCCAGGGTGGGCACCCGGCTGGTGACCTGTGTGGAGCACAGGTGGGCGGGAGGGACAAGGTGGGGTCTGTGTTGGGCATGCTGGCCTGGGGGACCAGGTGGGGCACCTCCCAGCCCCTCACCTCTGCCAGCTGGAGGCCTCCTCTGTGCCGGGCCCGGCGGCCACGCTGACTGCATCCCGGCTGCCGTTGGCCCACCTGCTGTACTGGATGCTGCTCTCCTGGGGCTGCATGCGGGGGGCTGCGGAGGCTCTGGCGGGAGGGGCAGAGGGCAGGCTGAGGCCTCCAGAGGCACCCTGTTCTGGCCCGGTCAGGTTAATGGCAGGCTCTGTGAGGCACTGATTTTAGGGTGAGGGTCTGCCTGGGGGCGGGGACAGAGCAGGGGGCTCTCAGGTGGGCTGGCTCCTTTATCCGCAGCCTCTCATCTGGCTGAGGAGGTGACCAGGATGCAGAGGGTTTAAGCCACGGGTCACATGGGAGGCGGCAGAGGGAATTCCAGCAGGGAGCCTGAAAGTCTGCCAAACCCTGCCCTCAGGAATGTGAGAGGCTGTGTTTCCACCCAGCCTGCTCCCCTGGGGGTGGAGGGACCCTCCAGGCACAGCTGTTGCCACCCTGAGACAGGACACGGCAGACCTGCGGCGTTCCTGTCACCAAGCCTGCTAACTGCTCCCTCCCCTCCCATTCCTACCAGATAAGGCCCCAGAGCCATCCCTGGAGGCTGAGGAGAAAAGGGATGGGGTGAGCGGGCAGGAGGCCTCAGGGTGGCTGGTACGACCTGTCCGGTACGGGGGAGGAGACCTGGCAGCCTTTGACAGCAGCTGCATCCTCTGGCCTCTGGCCCGTCTGCATTGCAGCCCCTCCCTGACCCACTGCTGTGGGAGGAGCTGGGACTTTCGGGGCCCTTGGGCCTGCTGGGGGCCCAGGGGCTGGGTAGGCCCCTCACTTCTAGGGGTGAGACTTTGCTCAGCCCCCACCAGCCTGGGAAAAACTGACCTTTCTTCCAGGTAATCTTGGACACAGAGGCTTAAAGGTACAGTGCACCACTAGCAAAAAGCCAACGCTGAGTTTCAGAAACTCATGAAACAGGCAGTTCTTAAACCCCTGGCTTCATGAGTTCCCCGTTTGCCCCTTCCCAAGTCCCAGGCCTGCAGGAAGGAGGGGAGCTGGTCTCAAAGCCACGAAGCCTTTCCCCACGGGAGCCCAAGTTCTGGGGCAGCCATGCAGGCCAGGTCTCAGGCCTGGAGGAAGCCAAGAATTTGTTGAGTGTGGGTTCTGTTTTCCCACAGTGTCCAGGAAAGGGGCTATGGGCCAACTCTGTTAGCTACCTACCTAATGCCCACCCCCTCCCTCCTGTGGCCAGAATCCCTGGCAGCAGTATGCCAGCCCCAAGTGACAGTCACAGGATAAGACAAGTTCACTACTCTGATCCCTGTTTTCCCATGTCACCCAGGTGTGTGCTAGGGTTCAGCAGGGAATAGCAGGCTCTTGCTTTCATGAAAGAAAGAATAGCCACCTTCTTCCTGCCTTGATGTGATGGCTGGAGCTGCAGCAGCCACTTTGCAATCTGGATATCCTACAACACTAGCCCATGGTACTGAGTCACCAGATCCACACCAACTGCCTACCCATGGGCTTCTTGCTGTAAGGAGAGCCAATCCCAATCTGTTCAAGCCTGGGCCAGTGGGTTGCTGTTATTTGCAACAGGATGGTTCCTGACTAATATGGACTGTGACTCTCAAGTTGTCCTGATTAGATAAAGCCACCAGAACCTGGTGAGGTGCTAGAGCTGAGCTTCTGAGGGCTTCACCCACTCGCACAATGGCACACCGTGTCACAGGACCCTGGGGCTGGGCTACCTAGCAGGGCCACCTGCTAAGCCTGGGAGCCTTACGGGCTACCATTGCCTCCAGGGAGCACGTGAGAACAGAATCCTGGGCACACAGGGCTGCACAGACATTAGGCCCCTTTACCCCTACTGCACCTCCAAGGGGCCCACAACTTACAAGGGGAGAGTCCTGGGTCGGAGTCAAAGCCTCCGGGGCCCGGAAAGATGATCAGAGCCTGGGCAGTGGATCTCACCACCTCTCAGCCCACGGCTCGGGATGTGAAGAGCCTCCGATGCCTCCAACCTTAAAGAAAATCAAGAAAAAGTGAAGAGACGTGGCAGTGCCAGGGGCCAGGAAAGGAAAGGGGCCCTGGGGCGTCCCAGGCAGCCAGCGGGAGCTGTGGGGGCAGCTAGCCTCAGGGTCGGTGGGCAGGGGACAGCCTCAACCTCGCCCCCACCCCAGCAATTTCACTCTCCCGGGCCGGCAGCTCGCAGGCCAGGGAGGCCGCAGCCTTGAAGGGCGCGGGGCTCCCGTACCCAGGCCCACCTCCTCCCTCAAGCTGCACGAGGAAGCTGCGCCTCAACCCCGCGTCTCACCTGGCTGGTCCGCAGCGGCTCAGCGCGCAGCAGACGTGTCCCTGGCCAGAGGCCGGCGGAGCCTGGGAGGGGGCGGGGGGACCGGGTCGGGTCGTGGGGCCGGAGCGGTGGCGGAACAGGGTCCAGCGGGTGGAGCCTGG